TATATATATATATATATATATATATATATATATATATATATATTACCTAGACATTTTTAACCTAAATTATTACCTAAATTTGGTGGTGTTGTTGAATGACTAATATTACAATTATAAATAATTCTTGTTGTAATGATTATGATGATAATAGTTAATTTTGATATATTTTTCAGAAAATAAGACTTTCTATATTGTCGTTTTTCTTCTCAACTACATTTGTATCGATTTAAGAATGCTTTAGATAGAAAACAAGCCAAAAACATTGCTGAAGTGATAAGAACGCATATTAAAATCTATTTCATAGCATTTGATGAATTCGTACTTCTTACATGGTGTGTGTCCTGTCTTCTGCTCCAGGACCCTAATTCGCGGATTCTGCGCATCATAGGAGACCGCTGCCCGTGTGTTTCGTCCCCGTGCAGTGATCATACTCAACGGTGCGACCCTCACACTGTCTCCAATCGCATGACAAACCTATGTAATTATTTTTCACTAGCTGAATTTTTTTTAAGATGGCTTTTTATTACTAACATGTATTCATAATAATATGATATAATTTATTAATAATTAAAATATTCAAACGTATTATTTGTTTGAAATTTAGTTGTTTTTGAATTATAAGAATTTCACCATAATAATACTGAGAATCTTTAATTAACAATATAATAATAATAATGATAAATGTATTCATGTACTGTATCATTATTAATGTATAGTATTAATGTATATTATTTGCATATTTAATGCATTATTTACATTTTTGTTGTAAGGAACCATAAGATTTTACCATAATAATGCCACACAATCAGTATAAATAATAGTTTATATGGCGGTAACTACAACAGCATATGTTATTTAGTGCTTACTTTTTTGTTCTTAATCTAGAAAATTAAGAACAATAACAACTTATCTCTGTGCACTGTAAGAATGAGTTACCTACAAATCTGACAACACCTACATCTTTATATAGTCAGTATCAGGCCTATGTGCTGCTGTTATTATTATAAACTCCGCCATTTGCATCAGTTTGGTTTGTTTACGAGCCGATATTACTGAGACGTCCAGACCACCAGATGGCGGCATCTATTGCTGCCAATACTTTTGACTTTAGTCTGCCTGTCTTTAATGTGCGTTTACTGTTGTTGTTGTTGTTTAATATGGCGAGTCCCGTCCAACGTGTGTACTAATGTTTTAATTTTATTTAGTAATTTTTTTTGTTTGTCCTTTTATTATGAAAGGGTAAGCTCTGGTTCACACTCCAATACAGTAGGTGGCGATAATGCACCTTAACATTGGTGCTACCCGCCATAAGACCGAAGAAGAAGAAGAAGAAGAAGAAGAAGAATGTGTGTACTACCGTGAAGAAGAAGAAGAAGAAGAAGAAGAAGAAGAAGAAGAAGAAGAAGAAGAAGAAGAAGAAGAAGAAGAAGAAGAAGAAGAAGAAGAAGAAGAAGAAGAAGAAGAAGAAGAAGAAGAAGAAGAAGAAGAAGAAGAAGAAGAAGAATGTGTGTACTACCGTTTAAAGAGACTGACAAAATGTCTGAATTGACAGAGACTCAGATTGAATCCAGTGATGATGAACTCCCAGAGGAGGTCGCCTTCGATGCATCCAAAAGTGCTGCTCTGAAGAGCGTTAAAGACGCACTGGAAGCAGCCAAAAGGTCTGTGAGTGAGACCACTGACTTCAGACAGAGCACACGAGTGTATGCGGGCTCAACTTTTTTGTTTTTCACTTTGTTTTCAGAGAAAAGATCCTACTGAAGGAGAAGCGAAAAAAGAGACAACAGCTGTTTCAAGAACAAAAGGTACTGTCCTCAGGATGTCTACTACATTATTATTGCCAAGAAAAGCTTATACACTCTAAACGTAATTCACAGTAAATTGTGTATTTAACATGTCAAAATCTCATGAAATATTATATGTTGTTTTTCAGAAGAGAAAACGTCTTCCTCAAGAGCTCTTAGAGGAATTTGATAAAGAACCCCAAAAGTAAGATCTCCAGCTAAATGGAAACCTTTTGATTACTTAAATCATTTTGGAAACTTAATAGATTGTTGTGTCTTCATTTTAGACAGACAGGTCCATCAGACAACAAATGTATCAACAAAAAGGTGTCAACAAAGCCATCAGACATCAACAAAGGTAACAGTAAAACCCCTAACCTTCTACATCTTTACACTTTATTTCCTGTTGGTCAGTATCGAATGACAAAACAACTCTTTTATAGATAAGACGAAGACAGGGAACATGCCTAAGAGAATCTCAAAAAGGTAATAATAATAATAATGTTTACATTTATCTTACTGAAAGTGTTCCACATGTACATATGAAAAATGTGTCTGATTTCAGTTTACCAGACAGCTACACGGTAATGAGGATAAAGGATGAATCTGCTGCAAAATCATTGCAACAAAAGGCCATGGACTTCATTCAGTCCCGTCTTTATGGACCAGGAACCAAAAGAACAACCAGTAAGTTAATGCGTTGTGCTGTTCAGATCTTTCTTTTTACCAGATCTTGTAGACCAGTTGAATATTCAAAATACCTGTGTGTATATTTACCTTAAGATGCAGAGCTTCTGTCCCTCAAAAAGAAACGGGGTGCGAGCAAAGGTGCAGCTGTGGAGTTTGTGAATAAAAAATTGGGTGAGTAGTGAGATTTTCATGTTTTAGCAAGTACATTGTGTCCTCGATGTGTTTTGTAAAGCAACAGGCTGAGCTGTCTTTATTCATTTATAGGTGCTTCCCAAAAAGCCAGGATTGCAAGGTCCAACAAACGGTTTATACGCCAACAGAAACTGATTCCTTTTTGAGATAAAACAGGAGAAAGAACTGCTGAATTATGAGAGTTCAACACATGAAAACTGTCACACCTGGAGGCGGCTTCCATCATCCTGCTGTTTTTGACCATGTGGATCATATTTTTCAAAAAGACGCTTTTAATTATTTTGTGCATTTTTCTTTAAACCTCATATAGTTAAAAAATATTAAACCTTATTATCAAATAAGATAGTAATTTAAAAAGAAATGACTTGGGTTATATCTTGTGTACAAATTAAACTTAAATCGGAACATTTTTAATAGTGGTAGCAGCTGAATGTAAATTTAAGTGTGCATATTTACTCTACACGTCAATAAATGTAAACCTGATCTAAAGATGAACAATTCATGTGTCAGTTACTTTGTACATAAGATTAACTTCATTAAACTAAATGACTATGATGGCCAAGTTATGGTTACAACATTTTACAAGGAAGCTAAAAGGAAAGTTCACCCAAAAATAAAAAATTCTGTCATTTACTCATGTTGTTCCCGACCCACAAGCCTGCTTAATCTTCAAAACACAAATTAAGATATTTTAAATAAAACCTGAGAGGTTTCTGTCCCCCCATTAAAAGTATAGGTAACTACAACTTGTAAGATCCAAAAAGATTATTAAGGCATCATAAAACGATTTAATATGAATCAAGCAGTTTATTCTTGTAAAGAAGAGATATATTTAATTCAGGCTTTAATTCACAAATGTACAGACAAACAAGCTTCCATGTTTACCTTATGTGATTTGCTATATGTATGATGTGTGTTAATCATCATTTAGATGTAAATAAAAGCCTAAATTAAATATGGTTATGAAGACTGCAATCAAGGTAAAGACGATTGCGGTAGCGTACAGGAGTCGTACAGTACAGCAAGCACACATGAGTCCGTTATAATAATGCGTGTATGAGTGCTCTGACGCACAGATCACACATTGTATTTATGCACAGGCACAGCCATTTCCATACATTCACGATAATGTTTTGATTTCTCATGTTTATGTTGCTGTGTTTAGTTATACTGAATGGATCTGTGTACTGTAGTAGATATATGCAGTCAGCAGGCGATTGGTTTAGTTTTTTTTTGGCATCTTCATGGGGTCCTGTTCGATATCGCAACTTGGCTTCTCTAAAATGTAAAAAAGCTCTTTGCTGTTGCACTGTACACATACTATAAAATGTATTATGTGCTTATAGGGCCCCTTGTATCATTTGGTTCTTTGGTGTCCTTTTGGAGTTTCTAAGTGTCCTTTTTTGGAAAGACATCTAAATTTATCTTGAATAAAGAAAATGCAGAAAATATAGATTTTTGAGAATCACCCTTAACTTTGTGGTTTACTTTGCTGGATGTAGCAAATTGTGACAAAATAAACATTTGAAACCAGATAAATGGTCTATGCTTAATTTCATGAAGTGTGCGATTAATCACAGAAAAAGGATGTGATTAATTAGATTAAAATTATTTAATGACAGCCCTACTTTTAACCCAAAAAGCAAATTATGCTCCCTTCGAACTGGTTGTCTTTAAAACACAAATCTTGTGTAATCCCAGGCTATCTGTAATCAGATGCACATTTGAAACTGGATTCACATGTGTTTCATAAACACATAATCCTTTCTGGATTACAATCCGCCATCAAAATTATAAAATTAATTGTTCTAGCTGCTGTGAGAAAAGGCTATAAATGATCCGCCACCTGCAGGATCCTCGCATGCAATAGCCTACTAGCCAGGACAACTTCTTTATGTTTACAGATGTGACGTAATGACGCAGCAGCATGCTCGAACCTACCCCGTACCACTCAAATTAGAAAACATTATTATAAGCTAACCGTTGTGAATCGGGCTAAAGACGATCATTTTGAACACTGGCTGGTCATGTACTTTCTCAAGTATTAATTTCGGATCATTTTTAACCAAAAAAAAAAATAGTGCCAGATTGCAGTTTGTTTTGGTTACCTGCAAGTGGAGAGATAGAAACCTCTCAGGTTTCAACAAAAATATCTTCATTTATGTAATGAAAGAGTAACCAAAGTCTCACAAGTTTTAGTAGATGAGAATTTACACAATTTTCACTTTTGGGTGAACTAAGACGACACTCAGTTTGGCTTTTTTAAAGCTCTTCGTCGTGTAATCGCATACTTAATACTTGTGTAACATTAAAACACTCGCTGAAATGTCAAAACAGACGGGTATATCTCGTTCAACTGGGTATTAACGTTTTATTACTGAAAATGATAAGACAGTGTTGATGACAATACTGTACCATTCTCCTTGTTTTAAAAGTACTGATGATCCGAGGGATTGACTGGTAAACAAGAGGAGAAAAAACAATGGAGCAGGCTTGCCTCTTGCCACTGGATATGACCTTAATTTCACTATATTCCTGTTGCACATCCAAACTGCACAAAAACATAGTGCAGGCAACGATGATGAGAGAACGCCTGAATATGGACTTTTTAAAAGATGGAGTAAGAGATCGGGTGGATGAAAAGACCAAAGACATCCAATACAATCACAAATCAAAGTGTCCGAACATTGCATCAATCCTGCTGTGCAGTTGGCAGAGGGAGGGTGCGCTTGTTTAAAAAAGGGCATAACTCATACAAGCTCACACTAATGCTCTATTCTAAATACCACCACTAAGGATGACTCCAGCAGTGTTAGGTTTTCTGGGTTTTAATTTTTTTTACTGTAAGATAACTAAATGTTCCACTCCTCGTCTTAAAATAATTTCAATATTTTTTCTCTTTTTTTTCCTTTTCCTTTTTTTAAATGGTAAAGTACACAAGCTGAGACCTGAAAATAGCAGGGTGTTGCCGCGGTGTGACCATAGTTATCCGGTCTCTCTCACTCTGCCAGCTTTCAACCAAGAACAAATACATCTTATATGCAAGTTTACTGATAATAACATTAATTACGTCATAATAATTTTCCTCATGCCTTGTAAATTAGGAAACAATCAGCCTGCTGCAACCCCCACCCCCCACCCTCCCTCAAAATAAAAAAGACAAAAGGAAAAAATAAAATAAAAACCATAATGATTGGGGATTTTATCTGACTTTTAAGAACCCCTCTTCCTAATGTATCTTTAGGCCCAGGTGAAGAGGATCCAGTCTTGTCAGAGAGCCAGGATGGGTCTGGCCATGTGGAGGCTCAGTTCATCAGGCCATGGTTTCAAAGCTGTCCCCAGTTTTTTTGGGAGTCTGGGATGGACCGGTATGATGTGGGCCTCTTTCACGTTGTCATTTAAAGGGATGATTCTCCAGGGGTTAGTGCAGGTAATCATCCACTGATGCGAAGGCGCAGGATCCGCTGCCTGTGCGAGCCATGAGGGACAGACACTGAGCTGCCTGGCCGACGGCGAGCGCCAAGGGAGGCTGCTTTGGCAGGTTATGAGTCTCTGCATGAGGGGAAAAAAGTAACATTAAATGCTAAATGCCTATGTTGAATTGTTAGATTCAAGAGTAAGCTCTAATAAACAGCAATACACACCACCATTCACCACTAAATGTATGCTTTTATTTACCAAAGACGCATTAAATTGATTAAAAGGGACAGTTAAGACTTTCATAATGTTACAAAACCATCCCATTTTAAATACACGCAGTTCCTTTGAACTTTCTATTCCTTAAAGTATCCTGAAAAATATTGTATCAGTGTTTCCACAAAGATATTAACCACCACAACTGTTTTCAACATTGATAATAATAAGAAATGTTTCTTGAGCAGCAAATCAGCATATTAGAATGATATCTGAAGGATCATGTGACACTGAAAACTGGAGTAATGATGCTGTAAATTCAGCTTTGCCATCATAGGAATAAATTACACTTTGAAATATATTCAAATATGAAATGGTTATTTTAAATCATAATAATTTTTCACAATATTACTGTTTCAACTATTTTGAATGCTAGCGTTAACGCCATATAAATATGATCTAATACACAAATGACATCATAGTGTGGACAGTGTAGACAGTTCTGAAGCTGCATTGACCAGCAAAAAACATGAGTGATCAACAAAAAAAATTTGATATATTATCCGGTTGTTCCTGACAATAAGCATCTAGCTTAGTTTCAGGAAAAGAAGCCTTTTTGGCTCAAATACACTGGATGCAGTTTTGAGCATGTTATCAATATTATATGGAGACTGACGGAGAGATGAGAAGAGAAAAATTAAAACAATTTATTCATAAATAATGTGTATGGATTGTAAACTTGGCATATTAATGTGCAATTACATTGTAATATTTGCAAAATATTAAAACAGTCTTTGCATGTGTTATGTGACAGGATCCTTCTATAGACCTACAAAAGGGCTGATGAGGGATCTGCAGCACCATGATTTATCCGAAAATCTGTTTTAAAAAAAAAAATCTAAATACAGCATTATGTTGCTCACTTAGGCTTTTTTGCTCACTTTTCTTAATTCTGAAAGCAACAAAGGGATCACTGTGGTGACTAAGTTGTTCAGATTTGATCAAAGGTGGTACTCGTTTCATCTTCAATGCCCTTGCTGATGGAAGGAGGTTTTCACTCAAAATCTCATGATACATGGCCCCATTCATTCTTTCGTTTACACGGATCAGTTGTCCTGGTCCCTTTGCAGAAAAACAGCCCCAAAGCATGATGTTTCCACCCCCATGCTTCACAGTAGGTATGGTGTTCTTTGGATGCAACTCAGCCTTCTTTCTCCTCCAAACACGACAAGTTGAGTTTTTACCAAAGAGTTCTATTTTGGTTTCATCTGACCATATGACATTCTCCCAATTCTCTTCTGGATCATCCAAATGCTCTCTAGCAAACTTCCGACGGGCCTGGACATGTACTGGCTTAAGCAGGGGGATACGTCTGGCACTGCAGGATTTGAGTCCCTGGCGGCGCAGTGTGTTACTGATGGTAGCCTTTGTTACTTTGGTCCCAGCTCTCTGCAGGTCATTCACTAGGTCCCTCCGTGTGGTTCTGGGATTTTTGCTCACAGTTCTTGTGATCATTTTGACCCCACGGGGTGAGATCTTGTGTGGAGCCCCAGATCGAGGGAGATTATCAGTGGTCTTGTATGTCTTCCATTTTCTAATAATTGCTCCCACAGTTGATTTCTTCACACCAAGCTGCTTACCTATTGCAGATTCAGTCTTCCCAGCCTGGTGCAGGTCTATAATTTTGTTTCTGGTGTCCTTTGACAGCTCTTTGGTCTTGGCCATGGTGGAGTTTGGAGTGTGACTGTTTGAGGTTGTGGACAGGTGTCTTTTATACTGATAACGAGTTCAAACAGATGCCATTAATACAGGTAACCAGTGGAGGACAGAGGAGCCTCTTAAAGAAGAAGTTACAGGTCTGTGAGAGCCAGAAATCTTGCTTGTTTGTAGGTGACCAAATACTTATTTTACCGAGGAATTTACCAATTAATTCTTTAAAAATCCTACAATGTGATTTTCTGGATTTTTTTTTCTCATTTTGTCTCTCATAGTTGAGGTATACCTATGATGAAAATTACAGGCCTCTCTCATCTTTTTAAGTGGGAGAACTTGCACAATTGGTGGCTGACTAAATACTTTTTTGCCCCACTGTACATCTCCATGCTTACTGGCCATTACCACCATAATCAAAATACATTTTATACTATGTTTTCCTAAAGACCATTTTAAATCATATATGTGATTATAAGTACAAACTGTACAAGTGTATATATTAAAGGCAGTACCTTGAGCATCTTCTTATTGGCTGAGTTTTTGCCCCTCTCACGGCGCAAGTGTTCACTCATGCTCTGTAGCTCTCGGCCGAACTGAATCATCCTCTCAATGGCTGCCTGGCTCCCTCCGCACAACTGCCTCTTGGACTGAGCACTATCCACTTCTGTGTACAGAACATTTAATCCTTTTAAAATGGTACACAAGATTCATTTGCATAACATAATTGACTAAAGTCACACACACAACATCAGATATGATAAACAGATCACACAGGAAAAACCCTTTGACCCACAACAAATTTCATTGTAGACACACAGGAAGTTATCAAAAGACTGAGGTCACTTGATGTTCTCACCCATATCTCCATCACATTCCTCCAAGTCTATCCCGTGAGTAGAGCTGCCATTCAGAAATCCATTTGAAGAGGATTCAGACACTCCGTTTGAGAAGTGATCAACCTCCATCTCCACCTCAGCACTGCAAGGAAGAGTCAACATTTACACAACAGGCTTATTTTGTGCTGTACAGTTACTATGAAAATATCTGAAGACGGTTATGAAAATGAATGTTAAAAATAAATATATGACATGAAAACCTGTCTATGAAAACATAAGAACACTGTTAGATTATGATTATGATGCAGCAATGTTATTAAAAAGAAGCATCTAAAAAGGAATAGCTGCCTGAGGTGAAGCTGAGTGACTTTTTGACAATAAACTGAAGCCCATTCTATGACAAATCCTATGATAATAATCAGTTAACTTCGATACATAACATAGACGTAACATTACAACTTGTGTCTGCACAAAAGGATGCAAGCGCCAGTGAATTTTAAGTTATGCGCTATAGCGAGAGAAAGCTCCCGCTGTAATAACAGCGCGCTGAAACACGGGCAAGGAAAGCAGACAGAATTTATTATAGATTTCACATTCTATAAAATTCTCATTATAATGCCATGTTTATGGCAGATTTGTGCTTTATTTTCATCTACATTACACCAAGTGATTCCTGATACCATACAAAGTACGAAAACAATTTTAATTGGTGGTGGTGGTTGAGGAGATTGGTTTAATCACTGGTGGTGGAGGAGAGACCACAGATGTTTTAGAAAAAACATATCTAAAAGCAATATAACCATCTCAAATAACTCCGTCAATATCGGGCATTGCATTTGAGCATGAAACTAAACACTGGTAATATGCAGCACATTCAGCATGTTAATAAATGTTAAAGCTGCAGTCCGTAAGTTTTGCCTCTTTGTCGTCATCTCTGTTTGAAAACCTGGAATTGCAGTTACTTGCGGAATTATCTTCCTTGCGTGGGTTGTACTCTGGCACGGCTCCAGCGCGGATGAAATGTTTATGGCAGATTTGTGCTTTATTTTCATCTACATTACACCAAGTGATTCCTGATACCATACAAAGTACGAAAACAATTTTAATTGGTGGTGGTGGTTGAGGAGATTGGTTTAATCACTGGTGGTGGAGGAGAGACCCCCCCCACATGATTGTAAAGTGCTTTGGGTGTACAACAATACACAAAAGCGCTATATAAATGCATCATTCATTCATTCATTCATTCAATTGAAGTATGCCTAGTGCCTACTATTGAACAAATATGATGAAAAAAGCATTGCTGCATTATTATAACATCAGTATTTAAAAAAAAAACATATCTAAAAGCAATATAACCATCTCAAATAACTCCGTCAATATCGGGCATTGCATTTGAGCATGAAACTAAACACTGGTAATATGCAGCACATTCAGCATGTTAAGTGGAGGAGAGACCACAGATGTTTTAGAAAAAACATATCTAAAAGCAATATAACCATCTCAAATAACTCCGTCAATATCGGGCATTGCATTTGAGCATGAAACTAAACACTGGTAATATGCAGCACATTCAGCATGTTAATAAATGTTAAAGCTGCAGTCCGTAAGTTTTGCCTCTTTGTCGTCATCTCTGTTTGAAAACCTGGAATTGCAGTTACTTGCGGAATTATCTTCCTTGCGTGGGTTGTACTCTGGCACGGCTCCAGCGCGGATGAATCTAATGTTTTGAGGAGTATGTGTGGCAGTCAGTCACCGCACCGGTGTGAATCCTATATTTAGTAATCAGATTCTAGCCTACGTCTTGTAATACATGACCCAAATAAGAATTTTCACCAGATATTGTCATCTGAACCAGTAACAAGTCTGCCACGTTTGTTCTGACCAACTGAATAAAAAAACATTACAATAAATTGTGCTACCAATAGTGATTTAATCTAAAGATTGGTTAGCTCATATCCCTTCAAACCGTTCAAATTATTATTATTATTGTTATACTTTATTCTCGGATTATTAATGTTAACAACATCAGCACTGCGTGACTATGAGTATAGTATGTGTGTAGATTTCAATTTCTGTACAGTCTAATCTCTAATTGTCATACCATTCGAATTTCATACCAAGAAATTATTTTAACCCAAAAAGCAAACTATGCTCCCTTCGAACTGGTTGTCTTTAAAATACAAATCTTGTGTAATCCCAGGCTATCTGTAATCAGAAGCACATTTAAAACGGGAATATAATTTAATTTCATTCACATGTGTTTCATATAATCCTTTCTGGATTACAATCCGCCATCAAAATGATTTTTTGACATTTCCTCAAAACCTATTCCCAGTTCTTGCGGTGTGAAAACGTCAAAAAGAGGGTACTTATAAGGAACTAAAAATGTTTCTCTGGTGCAAAAGCCCCTATTTTTGTAAGATCATTTTGGTAAGATATTTTTTTCACCCATGCTGGAAGAAAAAATCAGTGGATATAATATGTACCTGTCTGGTAGGTCTGGGAGCTGCTGGCTTTGTGAACAGGGCTGTTGAAGAGACGGGGGGAGCCTGGGTAACTATCCTGTGACTTAGGACTCCTCCCACCGAGACACCTGACCTCACTGTCAGTGCCATTCACCATCTCAATGAACTGCCTGACTCTGGAAAGAGAGAGATGTAGATACATTATGCATTTGGTTTCTTTACTGAAGACGTGCTAATTCCTGAAAGATGGCACATATCTCACTTACTTCAACATAAACAGGAGGTCTGGGTTTAACTCTAACAGGCTTGGGTAAAGTTGTTGAGTGGTCTCTATAGCCTCTCCCATTCTGCCAGATAGGACCAGCTTCTGGATCTCTGCAGTCACAAACGTGAAATCATTACTCAGCATTGAGTTGAGAATGTTCAACCCTGAAAGCATGCTAACATGCAGTGATGAATCATTCAGACTGATTCAATTCAACCATTGGATCAGAAACTGTGCCAATCATACAAACCCAAAACAAGACCCAGATAAGTCTGAACTGCCTATTTGTGTTGCCTGTGAAGACTCACTCTGTCTATTTTTGATAGAAGCAAGTTCCTCGTGTACGGCCTGGTCAGTTGATTTGGCAAAGACCTCAGCAGTGGCACAGTAGCTGTGGTGAACCAGATAGGAGGCCACCATTCTAATAAGAGAGAGTGAACAGGTCAAAAAAAGACACAAAACCCCCCCCCCCACTAGCATATCCATTCATTACCTCTAGAAAGGTTTTGAAAATAGAAAATATTCCAAATCAAAAGTACTCACTTCTGAATCATGGCCTGCCATTCTCCTTCTCTCTCCCCAATGGGGAAACGGTCAATCTGGGCTTGGATTTTGGTTCTCCATTCACGCATGTAGTCCTCAATATCAAAGACAAACGGATGCTGCCCAAAATTGGCGTCCACAACCTCCCCTGGGGTCTGTAGACCCACTGTGGGATACAGGTTGGGCTAAAAGCAAAATAAGCACATTTTAATAAATGTGGACTATAGTTACTGGCTAATTTACCAGTTTTTTATTATTAATGGTGTGTATTGTAAGCACAATGAGATTAGCTTAAAAAAGACGATGGAAAATGTGCCTTGATTTAGGTCGATCATGGGCGTTCAGAAAAAACAGCAGATTTTAATCGGATTTCAAACCACGACTACATAATTATCAGTCAGGTCAGGGGCAGACACATATGAGTCATTTTCTGATGCTTTCAGTAGAATAACTCTGGGAGGGTCTGTGCTCACAGTCCAATAGAAAGAAAGGTCAGGGCTGCTAAACTGACATACTTCACAGAAGTACTCAGAGTAGCATGAATGCTGGTCACCAGCCAGCTGTGTTTTCTGCTGAATGGATTATTGTTTTAGCCCCACAGGCCTCTGTTCAGTTAGCAAGAGCAATGCTTAGGGGCTGTCAGTCCAACATCTTGAATGATGAAGAAAGGAAGGAAAGACGAAACAATAGCAAAAGGCTTCCTCAACAATATCTAAAAATATTACAATAGAATGAAAAATATACAAATGATCAATCACCCCATGACCTCCAGACAGTGAAACGCAAAAACATATCTATAAAGCTACAAAAGATATGTCACTGCAAGTTCAATATTTAGACAACAAACATACAAAATGTAACATTTTCACAAAACACATGAGTACGTAATCAGAATGTAAACAGCCATAGATTTATCTGAATAAACTATTGGAGGATAGACTACATACTACAAAAAAACTATAATAAACAACATAATATACACCACCATTCAAAAGAATAATTTCTGTTTTAAAATTCAAAATTTCTTTTATGCAGCAAGGATACATTAAATTGAACAAAAATGATGCTAAAGACATTTAAAATGTTATAAAAATGTCTATTTTCAAATAAATGCTGTTCTTTTGAACTTTCTATTCATCATCGAATCCTGAAAAATAAAGTGTCACAGTTTCCAAAAAATGTTGAGCAGCACAACGGTTTCCAAATGGTCTAAAAGATCATGTGACACTGAAGACTGGCTGCTGAAAATTCAGTTTTACCATCAGAGGAATAAATTGCATTTGAAAATATATAGACAGCTTATTTTAAAATGCAATAATATTTCTGCTTTTGGTACATTTTTGATCAAATGAATTATCAAATCGACCCCAGACTTTTGATAGGTAGTGTAATAATGCAGCAAAAAATTAATTTCAAGCTTAGTGGTGTTTAAGAAAAATAAAGACTTACCGGTAAATCTGTAAAAGCTATCCCTGAAAAAACAAAACAAAAAAGAATTACACTATTATTAAAATAAATTCAAGATTTGAATTTGAAACTGCCAGTTCAGTAGCCAATAGCTCAAATTACAAAATCATCCTAAATGAAAAATATTTTTACAGATGTGTACATGATGTTAAAGTGCTCACTGAATTGATGACCAGTAATAAATAAAGACCAAATAACCACAGTTAAGTTTAAGACAAGCATTTGATCTTAATGTGCAATTCAAATGTTTACTACCTAGACTGTGACCATTTTTTGTGTAGAAACAGGTATTGTTGATGAGGTTCACACAGCAGCCGATCACATCGCCTGTTGTGAATGTGGGACCATAGGGCTGCCCAGTGCCAGATGAGCAGAAGGAGTGGCCGTCATCTCCATGATATCCATATGAGTGTTTGTCCCAACCTAAGTGCAGGACATTGTACACATTCTGGTGATTTTTGGAAACAATGAACCACAAAAAACACTAAGGAAACTCTAAGCTCTATAAACTCTTATCTCCCTGGCAAGCTGCAGTCTCACAGAGGAACACCCTGTGGGAGTCAAAAGGTGGAGGACCAACTTAACATGCCCACTAGCTGCATCTAAACTACAAAACCTATAGTTATAGTACACCTATAGTGATCATAGACATTTTAGATACAAACAACCTGAAAACATGACGTTTTACCTGGAAGTCTGTTCATGTTGACACCTTGAGCTGACAGGCCAATCCCCATGTACCTGCTCACAAAAACAGCATTTATTTGATAAAATGTTCTACATCAGAGCAGGTTAAAACTGCTCAGCCTAAAAATTAAAGGTACACACAGTAATTTTTATCCCTGAAGAAAATTAATGACTGAAAATGCTTAAAATCAAGTATACCTACATGAGACGGAGTTATTTTAGTATCACTTATAACTCCTTTTGTATTTGTATATTTTGTATTTACATATTAATTTTAGTCAAACATTTTGTAATTTTTTTTAAATGTAGTTTTAGTTTAGTACATCAAGTTTAATGTACTCATGAAAATGAGATGTTAGCAATCAGCTAAAATAAAATATACATTTTTTGAATATTTAGTTTCATTTCAGTTAACATTTATTTTAAGTACTTCTTTTATGGTTTTAGTTTTAGATAACGATGATAACTCTGGACTGAATTGTTCATTTTTCATGGAACAGGTCACCTCATGAGAGCCGCCATGTTGAAATCACATGACCAGCATTACCAATACTAATCATTTCTGTAAACCTCTTATTATCCAACATTTTTACTCTCAGAATAAATTAATTATGGCTGACTTCTAATAGATAATTTCTAAAAAGACATTAGTAAATGAAAACTTTTGCATAATGCTACATCCAAGCCACTAGGTAAAGTCCAGGACAACTGTTACACAGCCACATAAACTAACAATTACTGAGTGCACCTTTAAATGTTCCCTTAAAAGGGAACGCTCCCTTTCTTAAACTAATTTAAGAAAATACTGAATCCTTCACATACCCATCTCGTCCTTTACTGATAATTTTCACCTCAAAGTAATAGACCCCGCAGGCAGCTGGAATAGGGTGTGTTGCACGGACAGATGCCGCATCTTTTGGGGTCTTTCCATGACCTGGATGACATAAACACAATCATTTACAACTGCTAATAGCTTGTGTCACTCACAAGGAGCACCAGAACATTTGTAATGTTATAACATCGCCAGAGGTCGCCAATGGCAAAAAACACTTGTTTAAAAATAATCAATGTAAATATAACCAACTGATTATATTTTGCCTGGCAACAGCAAAGGCACTGCACATTTGCCTTGATATTTAAAAAATATATATATATATTTTATTTCATGCGAATATGCTCTAAATTTGGGAATTCATATTTATTGTCATTTTAATTAGCAATAACCAACAAACCAATGTCAGAAATTTGTTTAAAATATTATTATTATTAACATCTAATGTTTGCCCCTGAAATAAATTTATTTATTAATTTATAAAAGGTATGCCACCTCATTTAAATGTGTGCTATTATGATTTTTCAACTTTAATTAATCTGTAATGTTGCTGTTTGAGCATAAAAAATAAGTTACAAAGCTCAAAGTCCAATTCAAAAGGAGATATTTTCGTTTAAACATGTCTGTGAAAGATTGTATTACTGTACTGTGTAAAAAAAGAATAGCAATGCTGAAAAAGCAATTTCAGTGAAATAATGGATAAATGTTGTGTTTGTAGTAAACAGCCACGGATCACTAGCGGACTCCTGTGTGAAAGCACAGTCTGTGCTGCTTCCCCTCTCACAAGAGTCACCTAAGAGGGGAATTCCCCCCAATTTCAAAAATGAAATTCAGGCCCTGAATAAATGTCTAAAAATCCTGATTGGAGTATCACTACAAATAGTTATAAATGATTTTTTTTTTTAAAAGAAGGCTTTAAAAAGGTATCGGTGATCGGTATCAGCCGATACTGCTTTCTGTGATCGGCCTCAAAAATCCTGATCGGAGCACCCCTAGTATAAATCTTAATTTAGAAAAATTTACCCTTATGACTGGTTTTGTGGTCCAGGGTCACATATATTCTTAATATTATTTAATATGTCAGGCTATACAGACTGAAATATGTGATGCATCTTTGTCACATTTTGTAACATTTTAAACCTGAACCTCTGATAATCAGACTTATATCTGAAGTAAATTCATAAGCTTATATGTAGCTTGTACATTTATTAAGACTTCTTGGCCTACTGGTAATTTAAGGCAGTCTACCTGAAACCTACCTGTGCTGGCCTAATTATTCTGTGGCCTACCTTTATGACTCAGCTGAGGGAAATGGCAGACACCTCACTGGATTACAGAGTCTTATTTAATAACTAAATATGGTAATCAAATTATACATATATTACAGTTTTTCTTTATCTGCTGAATTCCTAGTAAAACCCTTACATACACGCGATGGCAGAAAACACAGACACAGGCCTTTCCCTAGAGCTTCTGCGTCAGGCTCGATCTCTACCTAAAACAGCATGCGTGTATGAAGACATAGCCTTTGTACACAGATCATGTTGTCAAAAGAGCTGACAATGACTGCATTTCAACTGTGAAACTCCATACAGTAGGTGCTTCCGGAAATGACTGAAGCATCTTTATAGCTCGCTGCTGAAACTCACCACCATCTCCTTGCTACATTACACGAACTTTATACTTACAAACTTAATACCTTTATCATTTATTCTCAACGACTACATGTCATACACGCACACACACAAACACTGTTATGCATAAAACATATTAAAGCAGTAGTTAAATTTCTAGACAATGCTGACTGCTAGGAATGGTGCTAAATAATGCTAAAGGGAGGCTATTTTTATTCAAACATGTCGTCTAAGCAGTTAGTTATTAGTAATCAAAGTTTCTAGTTAACATTTCGTTTACTTAACGTTATATCGGCTAATGTGCTCGACTATCACACTAAATCATCCGTTTCGTAACGATTTTAGCCGTTTGTGTGACTAAAAATAGGTTTGATTAACAGACAATACGAGTACGCAGAAGCTAACTTAACAGAAGTGTATTTTTATATCATCAATCAGAGGTGCAACTTGGCACGAGCTAACCTGGCTAATGCCGTCAACATTTAGCTGGTAAACAACTTGGTGTTTGTGTTCATCTGCTGCGGTTAGCCTTGGTTACCTTTATAATGCACCCGGAGGTTATTTTGAGACAGGCCGATGTAGCTGAATTTGTCTTTGGGGCTCCAGGATCTGGGGAGCGGGGTCTCCTGCTCGTTGACGGCCGGGTAAAGGCGTCTAAGCCGCTGGTTGAGGTCTTTTTCCTGCTCGTTGAGAGCCAAGTCTCCGTGAACGACAACCGACATCAGAAACCCACAGCCCGATGACGGTCCTGACATCGCGATCCGATTCCTGCCGCCGATACCAACAGCTTGCCAGCTATCTTTAGCTGGACAGCTTTCTAACAGTGTCCAGTGGCTAAAGCGACCACTGTCAGACACCACAGGAGAACAGCCGCTGAGATTTCGGGCTTGTTTTATTCGGATCGGACGGCTAGCCAGCCAGCTAACTGCGATTAGCTCGCAAACAGCCTCTCTGATAGACTTAGCAAGACGCTAAAGAGAATTAATCACGCCAATACAACGAAACAGCACCATACAAAAACATAACAGACGTCCAGAAAGTTGATCCTTGTTATTTAAGACGACATCCAACTGATCGGACAGACTAAATAGGGTGAGAGGAGCAGAAAGACAGCAGCAAAGGGAACCCCGATCTTTTGTTTGTTGTTAGTGTGAAATCCAGCGATCTGATTGGCTCTCTCAAGGTCCAGTCATACTTCCTCGAGCACTTGGTACATGACTAGACACAGGCTACCAATAACATGTCCTCCTTCTCACTTTGGTTGTAATCTAGTTGAGATGGCTGTGATAGTAAGAATATATGTGCACACTTACATATTATAATGTTTCGTTTATTTATTTAATCATTTTCATATATCATGGGACAGTACAGTTAGGGTGCAGATTAGGGTCGCCTTACACTTGGGGTCTTTTCAATGACCTCCTTTGAGAAAATGTTCTGTTTTCTACACCTAAAACTTAGTACTTAAATGAACATGCAACATAAATTATGAATGAAAGTATTTTACTTGTGTTTTTTACAGTCGGAAAGACTTGGCCAGTGTCAGTGCATTTAATCTTGTTTAACTAGCATCAAAAGTTTTACGAAACACAATATATACAATTTCTTTATATAAAAATGTAAATAGTGGTGTTTTCCAGTACAAAACTCCACATCGGCATGTATAAAAGTGGAATATTATAATTTATCAAGATATGATGTTTTGATTTTCCAACTTACACATGCTGAGAGCTTCATCTGATGTCTTGGTCTTTCCATTTGTTTTGGGATGTAAAGTACTTTTTGCAAACTGTATAAAGTGCATTCTCCAACATTCCTGTGATAACCATTAATGGTTCATTCATAACTTTGTCATGAAGTGTAAAAGCATACGCAGATTAGTTTCTTTAAAACATGTTCAGACATGTTCATGCTTCACATGCATTTGTGTTCCAAGAAAAACATGGAAAAGTCAAACTAATAAACATGATTAAAATATTAAAATATGTGTCCTACCCATGATTCAGTATGAGATGTTGTAGGTTAAGGGCTTTATATTGCAATCATCTGTAACACTTTACAATAAGGTTCCATTTGTTCAAATTAGTTAACTGCATTCGTTATTAATCTTTGTTATGCAATCTTAGTTCATTAATATTACTTAATCTTATTAAATTCCACATTTACTCATTAAATCAAAAGTGTGTCTGTTAATATTATTTAATGCACATGAACATGCGCGAACAGTTGTATTTTTTATCAACTAACATTAACAAGGATTAGTAAACACTGTATGTAACATATATATTGCTCATTGTTAGTTGATGTTAGTTAATGCGGTAACACTTTACAATAAGGTTCATTAGTTAACTACATTAGTTAACATGAACTAATAATGAACTGCACTTATACAGCGTTTATTAATCTTTGTTAATGTTAATTTCAACATTTACTAATACATTATTAAAATCTTGTTAACATTAGTTAATGCACTGTGAACGAACATGAACATCTGTATTTTTATTAACTAACGTTAGCGTAGATTAGTAAATACAGGAACAAATGTATTGCTCATGGTTAGTTCATGTTAGTTAATATATTAACTAATGTTTAACTAATGAACCTTATTGTAAAGTGTTACCGTTAATGCATTAACCAACTTTAAATAATGGGACCTTATTGTAAAAGTTATTGTATGTTAATCATTCAGACAGAGAAAAAGTAAATCAGCAAGCCTAGAGAGGACATGATTATTGATCTGTCCCTTCCAGCCACTCCAGGAAAAGGCACATTCAACAATCAGACGGTGATAAAAAAAGATATATATAGTGGATAATTCTGTTGAGGTGGATACTATTTTTAAGTATTCTAACATGACATTGATTTGTATGATAGCCTACTAAATTAAATCTGTGCACTTTTATTGTTTGTTTTTCAGTTCAGTGTCCATTGTCTATCCAATAAACCGGAAAATTCATGAGTTTCCACAAACTGGCAGGACCATCCAATCATCGTATATCCACACATAACAGTTACACTTATTGCTTTGGTCATTATGGTGGTACACAGTCCCAAAACTCATGGCACAGGTATTGGCAAAGGCCGTACACCATGACGATGAGAAGACTGACAGGTACCAGACTGACCATCAACACCCCCATCGTGGCATTCTGCATGATTAGCAGATATACACCTAGAGGCAGCGAGCTGAAGTACAGCAGCCCCAGCAGCCAGACTAGGACGCGTACTGAAGTCTGGCACAGCAGGGCCGCACAGTTCCACACTGTCCATCTCTGAGTAACCGAGGCCATGGAGTCCTGACTGGAAGAGCGGTAATCCCTACCCCGAGCTAAAATAACAGACTCCTGCCGAGGCTCCATAATGGTGATCACCATGTAATTGGAACGAATCGAGGTGGGAGAAGCTGAGGCAGAGTGTCCCACCAGAGAGTTGAGGTGTCTGGGACTGAGGAGAATCTGGCCTTGGTTGTCATTAAGGGTCTGATGCTTCCGTGTCTGGATGGACAGCAGTGCCGACACCAAGTTATACTCATCTGGTAGACTGTCCACATCTTCTCCGGGAAGGTCTGTGATGTAGCGGCAGAACGGACAGACCACTGCGTTTGGAGAGGATTCACCTAAATCGAGGATTTTTGCAAGGCACTTGACACAAAGACAATGGCAGCACTCGAGGACCTTGGGCCGTCGACTTGACAGGTTGTAAGCACAGTAGCAGATCTTGCATTCCAGTTCCTCTGTGGTGAAGCCACCCACCACATCCTCCGGGAACTGTCCCATCATGTCTCCTTCTTCTCAACGCTTTCTCATCGGCTGGTTGTAGTCAAAGCTGTGTGGGAACATGGTTGCGAGGCAGCTGTTGGGCCACTCCTGGTGTCTGGATCGCCTGTACTGTGCCACGGTGACTCTGGACGGGTTTGTGCTGAGGAACATTTCATGCACTGTGTGGAAGGGTGGGGAGAGGCCACCACCGAAAAGATAACTGTTAACACAGCAGTAGAGAACAAACACTGCGGCAACAAAGCAGGCCCTGTAAAACCAGGGCTGGAATTTTCTCGCCAGGGCTTTTGTTACCACTGAATTTCAGTCCAATTAGTGGCTCCACACTTCTTTCTGGTACACCGTGCTGCTTTTGCTTGCTTGATGCAAGATTATTCCAAACAGAAATAGACATTTGTCTGAAATCATATTAAGTTCGGAATTATACAATAATTTAAAATATTTTACATTTATTTAAAACTTGTTCCAAGCTGTAATTCTGAGTACCAGCCAGCTCAGAAGTTCACAGTTCATTGTGTAACATCAAAAATTAGGTCAATGCTGTTCACTGAGCCTGTCTCTTGAGATTTTACCATGTAAAATGAGAATTGGTATTTATTTCCAAACATAATGTATTTTATATATCATGCTCAGATTATTTTAAGGCAAGACACTATAGGCACTTTTTTTTCTCTTTTTGGGCTATTTGGCTTTTCATAATGAGATGTTTCAGACCAGAGGAAAGAAAACATTCAAAATACCCTTTTAGGGCTTTTTTAGTGCACTTTATCTGTTTGCATCTGTAGATTTCAATTTCAGTGCATATCATTAAAGGCTGTTTTCTCAAAATTATTTTTTTAATATGCAGTGAACCAGAAATCTCCACCTTATTAGCACTTAAATGCACCAGACTTTACAATTTTATTTCAATCTATATTCTGAAGGATTTGTTTATATATTATCTGAGTTCATACAACATTTTACCCTCAAAATCAGTGACATTTTTTTTTCTGACTGTTTAGAGTGATAAAAATAGATATGAAAATCCCCTCTGTAAAAACCTGCAATATGTCAGCAAAATGAAACAAGAACTTTGAAACTGACTTTATCCAATATTCAGGTTTCTGATTTAGAAAATTGTGCAAACTAGTGCATATTTAATTAAATAATGTCACATTTGCATAAACATTAAAATGTTTTCGGTTCTTAATGTAATCAATCAACTGGGAAAGTATAACAATATACAAGACTTTGTATATGTTTGTATGTCTCAGCAAGCTCTTTATTCTTTTTCAAATGGAAAAAAGTATTGCTTTGGAGTTTCACAACACTGGCATTCAAAAGCAGGAGAGATGAGGGCAATTGGAACACTTGATACCGTAATGATATTAACTTAATGATAAAATAATATAATTAAATACAGTATAAATGCTTTAATACTTATTAATGTAGTTTTTTTTGCCTTAATATGGTAGTAGGCTGTCTGAAATTAGATGTGTTAAAAATTCTTTTTTACTAAGATATATTGATCAGCTGACAATTCAGCTGAAACTTAATTTCTGTGTAGTGCAGTAATGTTTATAACGTGTTGATAACAATACCCTTCAATCAAACTTTTTTTTGATAGTGTTACTATACTGGCTCTGACTTTACAGCCAAGATTAAATGTCAATCATGTTTTATTTTAACCAATGATCTAGGGATTAGTTGCATGTGACCCAGGATCACAAAACCAGTCATAAGGGTCAATTTTTTTAAATTGAGATTTATACATCACCTGAAAGCTGAACAAGCTTTCCATTGATGTGTTTGTTTGTTAGGATTGGACAATATGTGGCTGAGATACAACTATTTGAAAATCTGGAATCTGATAGTACAAAAAAAAATCTAAATATTGAGAAATCGCCTTTAAAGTTGTCCAAATGAAGTTCTTAGCAATGCATTGCCTATTACTAATCAAAAATTAAGTTTTGATATATTTATGATAGGAAATTTACAAAATATCTTCATGGAACATGGTCTTTACTTAATATTCTAATGATTTTTGGCATAAAATAAAAATCGATAATTTTGACCCATACAGTATATTTTTGGCTATTGCTACAAATAAACCCGTGCTACTTAAGATTGGTTTTGTGGTCCAGGGTCACATAGGCTATATATGTCCCAACTTCACGACATTAAACAGCAGAAGAACGTAGGCCAACGAGATGTTAAAAATAATAATACTTGAATAATATTTTATATAGAGATTTTATACTTTTATATTATTTTATTTATTTATTTAATTTGTATTTCCACTTGCACTGTAAAGCACTTTACAGTAATGTACACTGCGTCCTAGTGGTTAAAGTTCATTCATATTTTGTCTTCAAAAGAAATAAAATATCAGATTATCTACATAA